AGGCGTTCGGCTAGGCTGCTTAGTGCTAAGCAACATGCTTGAAATAGCTATACCAAGCTTACCTCTGTGTCAAACTCCATGCCCAGGAACACCAACTGCGCGTTGGGTCAAGATGGGACTTGTCGATTTACTAAAGAGCCCAACTGGTGAAGTAAATCCTGTGTTAGCCTGACGTGTTTGGCTATTAACCCTTTGTCCAGGTTGTGTAGTAACCAGTCGTCTAGGTACGGATTGAGGTGTACCGACATTTGGTGAAGCAGCAGCACTACCTGTTTCATCACTCTGGTGAACACGTAGGGTGCTGTGCATAACCCGAACGGGGGGCACCCGAAATTCGAATACTTGGACCAGCTGGGCGATTCGAAGGAGATGGCAACTCGCTGGGTGCATCAGTATGTGCAGGTAGGCCCCTCTTAAGTCTAGTGGGGCTAGCCAGTCGAAACGGTGGATGGAGAGAAGAACCGGAAAGTGTTGCATAAGATTTTACCCCATTTGGGGGCCTTAAGTGCTACCTCCTCCGCAGCTGACCAACGTCCGCCCATCAACACCGTTTGCGCGTCCTGTGTCCCACTCTGCACCCGGACGAACAGAGGTTGCTTTGGATTCTGATGCCCGTGATCCCATAAGCACTGAAGCAATTGTAAGTGGTCACCTTAGAATCAGGGGTGGGGGCATTTACATCATATCACTAGGAATGATGAAACTCTGTATCACCCCAAAGGCATGGCTCACCAAGTCGTTACAGATGGAAGACCGCCCGAGGTACCGGCTGTATCCGACGCGAGCGAACTGTGTCTCCATTTCACTTATGTGAGAGAGATCGTGTTCGACTCTGCATCACATGACAGGGTCGGTTCCCTCTGTGAACGCCCGTGGGTGGGTAAGAAGGGAGTCAAAACCCACAGCGGAGACCGGACACAAGGGTAAATTCGTTACCGTTGTACCATTACCGCACGATGAACCCTGGCTGGCTAGGGGGGTGCAACGTGTGCCCTGCCCTGAAAGCCCTGCCCTAAGAATGGATGCTTGGCTGCCAGCACCCCGTTGGCATTCAGTGCCCGAGGCTCCAGAGGAGACCCGGTGCAATATCCTGAGCCTCGGCCTCACCCAAATTAGTGGGAGAGCCGCAGCTAGGAACGGGGGGTTCCCCGGAAGAGTGTGTTTGAATGCAAACGATGCTTTCGTGTTTCTTACTGCTTGCCCACCAGGAGGCCGCAGTGAAGACAGCTCGCTCCGACTGCGTCTGATCTACCCGGCCTGCCAGGGATGCAATTTGCCCCGACAGCTTTTCGACCAAAGCCCTCAAATCAGAGGCATACCCGGCGCGGTGCGAGGAAGGATCCACAAAGAGACCTGCAACAGGCCTCATAGGAGGAAAAAACCTCCAGGGGCACAGCCTCGCTGTAGCCAGTAAAATCGGGTAAACCACTGCCTGTAAACACAGACTGTGAGGATGCCCTCCAATCAGCGGGGGGAGACGGAAAAAATATCCGTACCTCCACTGTCGGGCCTCCTACTCGACGTCCCGGTACGCGAAGCACTGGTAGCTGAGTGTGAGAAATTTCCACTCATGCCAACCACGCAACTTACTTTAACCGATTTTTACTGGATTTTCACCTTGCTGTGAAAAAACGAGCGACACGGCCAGTCTCGGCAATTTTGATGGCTCTGAACAAATATCTCAGGCCTCAGAACTCCAGTGAAAAATGCACGCCTTCAAGGCAAAAACCCCAAACCTCGCATGCAGCCACTGCAAAAAGCATATCGGATGCAGGTTCTATGCTGGTAAATTCTAAATATAACCACTGCACAGTTGACTCAAAAACAAGGAGACCAAAAAACGGCAGCGAGTCATGGAGCTGTTATTGCATCTATTCATTTCTAAATACGTAGATCAAGCATAAAATGAAGACGACATGCATGAAGGAAGCAAATTACAGTAGTAAAATGTGACGTAACGCAATCAACAAGTGATTAAGCTACAACGTCCAGGTTTTATTTCTTTGTTGTGAAAAATGCTACACACAAAGGGGAAAATGACACGAGGGTAAAAATGATAAGAAAAACTTATCCTACCAGCTACAATGTTGCATGCCGACCCAAGCTAGAAACCCGGACAGGAAAAAAGCAAGCGTTCCAGGCAGAGCTCGCTAGATTTCATCTCGATCCATTTGAGGCGGAGAAAAAATCAGAGTGATTAGCCAGCCGTATTGGCGCCGCCATATGGCCTCGATCACGTGGCTCGTGACATAAGGGAAAAGAATCTTGGGGTAGATCTTGACCTAGATTCTATCTCTCTGTCATTGGCAGAATCGCTGATTAATGCCTACAGTCCAAAATAGTCAATTTGACTGACCGGAGTCTATGGTAATTGAACGTAGTGAATTTTACCCATCATGCTTTGCAAAATTTTAGTTTTTTTCTTGCAATGCAAGGTAGACAATCAAATTTACCTTTATTTTCACATGTAAATAAATATCCCCTAGCTTATCAATATTTTAGCAGTAATGTCCAGCATTATAATACAATGAACAAACAAGTCATTCACTGCTGAACCTTCAGTGCACACTTTTTTTAGTGGTATTATAATGCTGGACATTTTTATTAGGATAAAAGCATAAGTTAAATGTCAACAAACTGTTATACTAAACCATTATATAACTGAATCTAAATTGAAATTTGTATTGATGTCCCTGGGAGCTTATGTTTCTATCTTGTTCATTAAACTTGACTAAATAATGTACCACAGAAACAAATAATTTACAAGTTGTTAATGACATAGTCCTTTTTATGTAATTGCTTTTCTTGTTTGTAATTGGTCCCTTTTCAGGAAGAAGTCAGAAACAGTATTTTTTTTACCAAAAATTAGAGAAGACAGACAATCCATAATAATATTCGCTTTGCTTGATAGCTGAACTGAGGTGAATCAACAGATTGATAATCAGCGCTAGTTTGAAACAATCATGCACAAGATACAAGAAAAATATTAATCATTAAAAACAACCATTTTTCGTAATCCTTTTACTGTAGGTCCATGCTTAAATCTGCTTGCTGCATTTCTTCATTCAAACATGAACACATAATAAATATTATCTATTGTAAAGTTGTATGTTTTTAGTCAAAACCAAATTAGTTGGCATATTAGTGAGCAAGTTTATTAACTTGCTTCAGAGATCCCTGTAAAGTTGTATTGTCGGCAAACCTTAGTTGAAAGCTAATGTTGAAGAACTTAAATTTGAAAGCTCCAGCATTCAAAAGTTTTGTAACCTTTCAGCATCTTAACTTGTGTTTTCAACATTAACTTTGACATTATCTGTATGATCGCATATACTAGTATCCAGTTATTGCACTGCCACAAGCCATCCAGATACAAAGTCGTTACTTGTTGTTTTAAGAGACCTTCTCTCTCATTGTTTAAATACAGAAAATACTCAAAAGTGACAGAACTAGAAGCAGAGCCACTAGACATGGATTTGAACTTACAATTCAGCTCAAAAGCAAACCCCAGGAATTTGATGTGAGTGGTTGGATTTTGTAATGAACCATG